GTGGTGCAATACTGGATAATTTCTCCAGTGGCGTTGGGCATAGACATTATCACAGGATGTCTTATTAAGGCAGTTTTAACGTGGTGAGGTTTAGCATAGCTGGTAAATCATCAGCAATTATAAGATCTATCGACCAAAAGGTTGCAAGTTTGAAGCCCCGGGTTGGCATGACCTGCCAACCGTCAGCCTAGCTCATTGTTTACCTAAGCAATTCGGAAACGGCTTTAGCTGTGATTAGAGAAATTAGATACCGCTAAAAGCGGGGGAGGTGTTTTGCGACACCATAAAGAAAGTCAGAAAATGCCTAATAATAATAATAATAATAATAATAATAATAATAATAATAGTCTTCCTTTAGAAAGAAGAGGGTTGGACTGGATGGTATTTGGGGGACCCTTCCAACTCTGTATAATCGTACCTAATAATAATAATAATAATAATAATAATAATAATAATAATAGTCTTCCTTTAGAAAGAAGAGGGTTGGACTGGATGGTATTTGGGGGACCCTTCCAACTCTGTATAATCGTACCTAATAATAATAATAATAATAATAATAATAATAGTCTTCCTTTAGAAAGAAGAGGGTTGGACTGGATGGTATTTGGGGGACCCTTCCAACTCTGTATAATCGTGCCATAATAATAATAATAATAATAATAATAATAATAATAATAGGAGTCTTCCTTTAGAAAGAACTGGATGGACTGGATGGCCTTTGGGGGACCCTTCCAACTCTGTATAATCGTACCTAATAATAATAATAATAATAATAATAATAATAATAATAATAATAATGTAATGCTATCTTCTTGCTTGGCAGGTTGGACTGGATGGCCTTTGGGGGACCCTTCCAACTCTATAATCGTACCTAATAATAATAATAATAATAATAATAATAATAATAGGAGTCTTCCTTTAGAAAGAACTGGATGGACTGGATGGCCTTTGGGGGACCCTTCCAACTCTGTATAATCGTACCTAATAATAATAATAATAATAATAATAATAATAATAATAATAATAATAGGAGTCTTCCTTTAGAAAGAACTGGATGGACTGGATGGCCTTTGGGGGACCCTTCCAACTCTATAATCGTACCTAATAATAATAATAATAATAATAATAATAATAATAGGAGTCTTCCTTTAGAAAGAACTGGATGGACTGGATGGCCTTTGGGGGACCCTTCCAACTCTGTATAATCGTACTAATAATAATAATAATAATAATAAGAGTCTTCCTTTAGAAAGAAGAGGGTTGGACTGGATGGTATTTGGGGGACCCTTCCAACTCTGTATAATCGTGCCAAATAATAATAATAATAATAATAATAATAATAATAATAATAATATTAATAATAATAGGAGTCTTCCTTTAGAAAGAAGAGGGTTGGACTGGATGGCCTTTGGGGGACCCTTCCAACTCTATAATCGTACCTAATAATAATAATAATAATAATAATAATAATAATAATAATAATAATAGGAGTCTTCCTTTAGAAAGAACTGGATGGACTGGATGGCCTTTGGGGGACCCTTCCAACTCTGTATAATCGTACCTAATAATAATAATAATAATAATAATAATAAATAATAGGAGTCTTCCTTTAGAAAGAAGAACATTGGACTGGATGGCCTTTGAGGGGCCCTTCCAACTCAGTATAATCGTGCCTAATAATAAAGGAACAAGTTGCATTTGCTGTTAGATTATTCATCTTTGCTATTATGTGAAACCGAAACTAAGAAAGAATCCGTTCCTAGCTGGTTTGGAATCAGGGCAGGTTTTATATGAGATTTTTGAGAGACATCGCTTTATTATTATTATTATTATTATCATCATCATCATCATCATCCCACACTGGGCATGCATACTCAGCAGCAGAGTAGCAAAGCGCAAAGGCAGATGCCGTAACTGTGTCTGGTTGTAAACCCCAGGTTGTGCCAGACAGCTTTTGTATGATATTATTTCTAACACCCACTTTTTGCTTGATATTCAAACAGTGCTTCTGATAAGTCAGAGTGCAGTCCAGAGTGACTCCCAGGTATTTGGGTGTGCTGCAATGTTCCAGTGGGATTCCTTCCCAGGTCATCCTCAGAGCTCGAGATGCTTGTCTGTTGTTAAGATGGATAGCCCACGTCTGCACTGTTGATGGATTAGGAATCAGCTGGTTTTTCCTGGAATGGGCAGTAAGACCACCTAAAGCTTTGGAGAGCTTCTGTTCGACCATTTCAAAGCTTCCTGCTTGAGTGGTGATGGCACGATCGTCAGCATAGATGAAACTCTTTGTCCCTTCCTGACGGATGTCCGGTGGTGCAATATCGGCTAAACAGTATATTATCAGCAGAAGCCTCCCTGCAAGATAGTTACACATCCGGGCATCCCCTGGGCAATGTCTTTGTAGACGACTGATTCTCTCATACCAGAAGCAACTTGCAGTGAGTCTGGTTGATGGGAGGTTTTTAACAACAAAAATCAATAAAATGTCAGTAAGAAAAATGACTGGAAACATATGCATTATATTCAAGAACGTGGACATGAGATGCTTATGTCCTTTAAAAAAGGACCTTAAAACCCGGCTTAAATCCCACACCACTGCTTAGCCTCAACATTTTGTCATTGGAGTATATGTCATTGGGGAGATTGTGGCGGGATATAAATAAAGATTATTATTATTATTATTATTATTATTATTATTATGTGTATATGCACCAGATTAAATCAAGTATAAATGATATGAAAAGCTTAAATTATATATATGTATATGTATGTGTGTGTGTGTCTATATATATATATATAATATACAGGATATTAATAGCTTAAATTACATATAATAACAGTAATATTGTTAATATTGCTAGGCATGACGACACCATCAAATCCCTCCTAAGAGATGGCCACCCAGCCTCTACTTAAAGACCTCCACCATCATCATTCTTGTTAATAATATTATTATTATTAAATTGACATTATTATTAAAAATAATACTGGTAATATTACTATTAATATTGTTATAAATATTATTCTTATTATTGGCTTGGTAGAAACCCTAAGGGCCATCCAGTCCAACCTCCTCCTGCCAGACAGGAAGACACCATCCAAGCCCTCCTGACGGATGGCCATCCAACCTCTGCTTAAAGACCTCCACCACCATCATTCTTGTTAATATTATTATTAAATTGACATTATTATCAATAATATTGTTAATATTAGTATTAATATTAATATTGTTAGGCATGAAGACACTATCAAATCCCTCCTAAGAGATGGCCATCCAGCCTCTGCTTAAAGACCTCCACCACCATCGTTCTTGTTAATTATATTATTATTATTAAATTGACATTATTATTATTAATAATATTGTTAATATTACTATTAATATTGTTATAAATATTATTCTTATTATTGGCTTGGTAGAAACTCCAAGGGCCATCCAGTCCAACCCCCGCCTGCCAGACAGGAAGACACCAT